TGTGTGTGAGTCATTGGGCGCGTGAGCGTGCGTACATATTTTACCAGCCATGCTTTTGTTTTTTGATATATAATATGCATATTATTACATGAATATAACATGCTCCATGAATATAACTGCTGTGTGAAAGATGGAAGTTTGGAAGGGCCGAATGTAAGACAGGCCTGCGTGCCTAATTTGTAACCCTTTGAAAATAAAGTTCGTTCGTTCGTTTGTCTTGACCAGTTGTCTCCATTTTTTTTTCAGGTACCCGAGTGGCCTCCTCCTCCACCATTCCCCCTTTCACTTGAATATATGGCAAGGACATGCCTCCCCCCCCCCCCCTCCCCCCCCCCCCCCCCCCCCCCCCAACATAAAAACAAAATCGGATTGAAAAAAAACGGAGGACTGCGTTCTTAATCTATAAATTTAAATGCAGGTGTTATCATATTAATTAGAGTTTTAACGGTAGATGAACAAACTGCCCATGAATAAAAAAAATATCTTTGGCTTTTTGTTTTATAAATAGCTTTAAAAATGTTTTATTATTTTATAATGCCGGGGTGCCGGGTTCAATCCCAGCTGCAGGCCTTACGCTTTGTGTTGGTTTCGACAGTGGTATTGATAAGCCGACCATCCAGAAAGCAATGGCAAACTACTAGATGTAAATTTGCCTAGAAAAGCCACAACAGCCAAAGATTGATGGGGTTGGTTCTGCAATGTCTTGCAAAAGATACGCAACTAACTTAACTTTTGTGGCTAAAAGGTTGTTAACATTGTGTTAAAGTTTAAAGTTCAGCTGCAGTATCTGTGCTTTCAAGTACAATACATTCAGTTTAAGCAAACCCCTTATTAGTCGCTTTTAATGCAATTACAGCATTTCACACAGATCTGTTTACAGCTCTGATCTCCTCCTCAAAAGTTTCACAAGCATAAAACGACTGACAACGCCTGTTCTGTGTTAATTTTTCAAACCTCTTGACACTTGGTGAAATGTTGATTTCTTGCAGCTCCAGGTGGCGCCACTATGTCCATCAGCCAAGACAGTGATAAAGAGTCCTTCTGGCCTAAGCCTATTTTACTTTTCAATTACTTTTGCTGTGCAATTGGTGTCTGCTGCACCTATTCATTTTAGTATGGACATCCTTATTACACGTCAGAGGAGCAAGAGAGGAGGATCTTGGCTCAGTCACACATACTATGTTATGAGAGTGAGAATCCTAGTTTTATGACATCTTTGTTATCAGGCAGCTCCCTATGTTGGTCCAGGGCCCTGTTGTTGGGGGAGAGAATGAACAGACCCACTGCCCCCAACAAGCATATCATAAAAGTTGATAATTAGGTGTTTCTTTCAAAGTCAGAGTGCATCTGCTTGAGAGGCAAAGAACCAACAGTATGCACAAAAATAAGCCAAATGGGTAAAACAAATGTGCATGCAAAACTCCAGTTCTAGAACAAGGCCATGTGGACAAATAACCAGAAGTTTTTACCAAAGTTTTCAGCTGGTCAGCGTGAATAAGAAGAAGAAGAATACAGTGGGTATATGCCCCTATCCCACTCCCAAATGTGTTTTGCACAACCCCCACAGTGGCAACTAAATCCCACCTCACCTCCAAATGTGTTTTACAGAACTCCCACACTGGCAACTAAATCCCACCCCACTCCCAAATGTGTTTTACAGAACTCCCACACTGGCAACTAAATCCCACCTCACTTCCAAATGTGTTTTACAGAACCCCCACAGTGGCAACTAAATCCCACCTCACCTCCAAATGTGTTTTACAGAACTCCCACACTGGCAACTAAATCCCACCCCACTCCCAAATGTGTTTTACAGAACTCCCACACTGGCAACTAAATCCCACCTCACTTCCAAATGTGTTTTACAGAACCCCCACAGTGGCAACTAAATCCCACCTCACTTCCAAATGTGTTTTACAGAACTCCCACACTGGCAACTAAATCCCACCCCACTCCCAAATGTGTTTTACAGAACTCCCACACTGGCAACTAAATCCCACCTCACTTCCAAATGTGTTTTACAGAACTCCCACACTGGCAACTAAATCCCACCCCACTCCCAAATGTGTTTTACAGAACTCCCACACTGGCAACTAAATCCCACCTCACTTCCAAATGTGTTTTACAGAACTCCCACAATGGCAACTAAATCCCACCTCACTCCCAAATGTGTTTTACAGAACTCCCACACTGGCAACTAAATCCCACCTCACTTCCAAATGTGTTTTACAGAACTCCCACACTGGCAACTAAATCCCACCTCACTCCCAAATGTGTTTTACAGAACTCCCACAATGGCAACTAAATCCCACCTCACCTCCAAATGTGTTTTACAGAACTCCCACACTGGCAACTAAATCCCACCTCACTCCCAAATGTGTTTTACAGAACTCCCACACTGGCAACTAAATCCCACCTCACTTCCAAATGTGTTTTACAGAACCCCCACAGTGGCAACTAAATCCCACCTCACCTCCAAATGTGTTTTACAGAACTCCCACACTGGCAACTAAATCCCACCTCACTCCTAAATGTGTTTTACAGAACTCCCACACTGGCAACTAAATCCCACCTCACTTCCAAATGTGTTTTACAGAACCCCCACAGTGGCAACTAAATCCCACCTCACTTCCAAATGTGTTTTACAGAACTCCCACAATGGCAACTAAATCCCACCTCACTCCCAAATGTGTTTTACAGAACTTCCACACTGGCAACTAAATCCCACCTCACTTCCAAATGTGTTTTACAGAACTCCCACACTGGCAACTAAATCCCACCTCACTTCCAAATGTGTTTTACAGAACCCCCACAGTGGCAATTAAATCCCACCTCACTTCCAAATGTGTTTTACAGAACTCCCACACTGGCAACTAAATCCCACCCCACTCCCAAATGTGTTTTACAGAACTCCCACACTGGCAACTAAATCCCACCTCACTTCCAAATGTGTTTTACAGAACCCCCACAGTGGCAACTAAATCCCACCTCACTTCCAAATGTGTTTTACAGAACTCCCACACTGGCAACTAAATCCCACCCCACTCCCAAATGTGTTTTACAGAACTCCCACACTGGCAATTAAATCCCACCTCACTTCCAAATGTGTTTTACAGAACTCCCACACTGGCAACTAAATCCCACCTCACTTCCAAATGTGTTTTACAGAGCCCCCACAGTGGCAACTAAATCCCACCTCACTTCCAAATGTGTTTTACAGAACTCCCACAGTGGCAACTAAATCCCACCCCACTCCCAAATGTGTTTTACAGAACTCCCACACTGGCAACTAAATCCCACCTCACTTCCAAATGTGTTTTACAGAACTCCCACAATGGCAACTAAATCCAACCCCACTCCCAAATGTGTTTTACAGAACTCCCACACTGGCAACTAAATCCAACCCCACTCCCAAATATTTTTTGCAGAACCCCCACAGTGACAACTAAATCCCATCCCACTCTCAAATGTGTCTCGCAGAACCCCCACAGTGGCAATTAAATATTAAACTAAGTCCATGACATCGACAGAAAACAACAGCTTGCCGGCTAAATTTAATGCTGACATAGATGTGTCTTTTATAGCTGAAAATAAACCCTTACCTTGTTCAAATGGTGTGTAGAGCACAATATAAGTGCCATCACCATTGTTTTTAACCAGTGTGTCAGTTCTTTGACCGCTAGGGCTTGTTACAATAGCCTTGACCTTGCCTTGAGCATTAGGAGACACTGACCTGGCATCTACTGTAAATTCATTAGGGCAGTCCAGGAACACTCCTGTTGAAAATATAAAATATGTATTTATTATAGAAAATTCTGAAAAGCTAGAGAGATTAACATCATCATCATGAAGCAGATCACAGCTCGCATCAGAGTCTGCGTGAAAGAAACGGTCTCTCGATAGCTCTCCCACCTCGTGTACTTTCATATTCAAGGAGCCGCTTAGATCATGTGCCCATCTTCGCGTTGGTCGACCCCTTCCTCTCCATCCTGGTACTATGCCTTCTGTTTTTATTTGTTCTAATCGCCGTGGCACTTGATATGACCAAAATATGTAAGCTTCTAAAACAAGATGCTGTTTTTGGCCAATCTGCCTTGTTGGTCAGCCTCTACCCCTTCTTCCTGGTACAATGTCTTCTGCTATTATTCTTTCCAGTATGCCATGGTGCTTAAAATGACCAAAATATTTCAGCTTCTAAAACAAGATGCTGTTTATTTTCCAATCTTGCTTGATGTTCAGATCTGTTGAAATGTCATTATTTCTTCTCTTCTTTGTCCATTGTATTCTGATAATTTTAAAATAGCATTCCAACTCAAAAGCCCCTATTTAGAGAGATAAACAACATACTGAAAATGAGACTCGTCAAATGCTATTTATACTAAACCCTCCTGTGTTCCTAGACAATGAACTAACAACTAGGAAACTGAATGAGTCTCTGGGAATGTGAATATACTGAAAAATAGGTCATAGTTCATAGAGACAAAAGCAAACACAAAGATTCTGAAGAGACAACAGAAAGGAAAGTTTTACTACCAACATGGCAAGCCATTTCCATCTTCTTCTAATGAAAATGTTTGCCAGTGATGAATATTTTTTTTCTCCTCAGTTCTTGATCTGTGATCTTAATTTGTCGAAATATCTCCTGTTCTTGATCTGTGATCTTGTTTTGTCGAAATATCTCCTTAGTTCTTGATCTGTGATCTTGTTTTGTCGAAATATCTCCTTAGTTCTTGATCTGTGATCTTGTTTTGTCGAAATATCTCCTTAGGTATTTGTTTTGAAAAGTCCCTTTTTCTGCTGCCATTTTCCAACAATTATTGTGGATATACAAATATATTGCACATAAAATTTAGGAGTAATCCACTGTTACATATACTCTTCATTACTGTATCATGTTGAAATAATGACACTGAAAACAAATAAATAAATGTGAGGGTTATATTAAAGCTTTTGTAATGTGTTTACATAGATGTCAAGCGGTAATATTATGGAAGGAGACAGAAGTTTCACAAAAATACTGGATTTAAGAAAATACAAGCGCTTTTCCAAAATTAACCTGAATGTTGAATGTTGAATTAAGAATGGACATGACAGCACTCGGGACACGCCCATAAGCGCTCCATCCCCATCTTCAGGAGCAAATGAAGAGTTCCAATTCTGATGGCACCAGTAACTGTCTGACTGTATATGCGTGTCACCCTTTCCCTAAATGCTGAGCATTTGCTAGATATCCCTGATAACTCCTCACAGCACCATTTTCCTCAGACCAAAATGATCTATCTGTGTCTCCGTACTGTTCTCTTGCTCCAAAAGGGTCCTCACAATATCTAGCTTGTCATACATCAGTTCACCACCAAGTGGTGCAGAGCCCACTAGTCTATCTGCCTGCTCATTTCCCAACACATAGCATGACCTCAAGTAAAAATCTAAAGGACGCTAACAATCAACCTATAAAAATCAACCTATGATTGGCTGGTTTACAATGTTTGTGTGTGTGGCCAAAGTGACACCGTTCATTGCTTGCATCATTGATTAGTGCAGATGGAATGTCAGAGCTTAGCATTTCGATGTTCTGCTTAAAGAAAAAATGAATCACACCTTGAATTTCACAGTTGGTGGGACAGACAATGAAAGTGTCCATGTTTATCCATTTGCAATTCATGAGCCACTAAACAAATGCTACTGTAGGTTGGTGTGTAGTGAGCTAAAATGCTACTGAATGACGCAAGCAATGAATGGTGTCACTATGGTAAACAGTTAATCTTTATCAGCCATTCGGAGGTTGATTTTGGATCAGTCCTCGTGTTACCGAATGAGATCAAACAGACAAAATAAAATATGAGGGAACACACACTGGTCTTGAATAGGGCACATACATCGAGGAACGCTGTTAATAGCATAACGAGGTAGTGTTTCTTTTGCAGTTCACATAGGTTAAAAATATGGGGAAAAAAGCACAAAGAGTGATAGTTTTTAATATTAATTGCTAATAAAATCTGTATTTGTTAGTATTAATCATTATCCCTGCTCAAGCAGATGCACTCTGACTCCGAAGGACATACCCCAAATGGCCACGTTAGCACAGTCGATAAGAGGCTTGCTTTCAAATCCAGCTGCGACTCGCTGTAGCCATGGTCGATGTTCAAAACCGGGCGGTTCCCGGGGTTCACCAAGCCTCTAGGAAATGGGTACCAGAGTTAACACTCTGGGGTAAATGGAGGAACGTCGCTGTAGCTACAGAGTTACTTGTGAACGGCGATACAGGCTAACAAATCTTATCAGCTGTCCATACTGGTAGCAGAGCACTTATGGTTTATAACTGTGTGCAATGACGCTGGTTCAAATCTCCTGACTTTACCTTTTACTTTTTTTAGTTGACTTTGAAGACATGTTTCTAAAAATGGGACCTCAGAACCCACATGGTGATCATTTTTGTCAGTTTGCATGAGAAAGCTGTACTTTATAGTTAAATTAAGAACCAACAACACTAAAGACATTCCCATAAGCGCTCCGTCTCCATCTTCAGCAGCGAGCACAGAGTTTCAATTCCAATGGTCCCAGTAGCAGTCTGACTATATGAAGCTGTACTTTATAACTATATACTGCTTTAACCTTTTCACCCTCTCTTCATTATTTCAACAGCGATGTCTGATACTTTGTGAAACAATTATCCAGACTATCAAAAAGACCCTAAATCAGCACAACTGCCACCCTTTTAACTCTGAGACTCCGAATGTATTATTACGTGATGAAGGCTGTCTATACAGGAAGCTACAAAATGCCCATTGTGGGATAAACAAAAAGACGCAAGGCGCTGCATGGTCTCGAGGCATGGTGTCCGCCTCGAGTGCTAGATGTTCCAGGTTTAATTCCCGGTAAGGGCTGGGATTTTTTCAGGTGGACTTGGACTTCTAGTAATTCCTCCTGGTCTCTGGGTAGTGATATCAGATGCCCGTGTGCATTTTTGCGAATGTAAAATATCCCTAGGCAGTTAGAAATAAAAAAGAGTAGCCTAACGGTGCTACCCGGGCAAAATTTGGAGTTGAAAACCTACCCAAAGTATTTCAGGATCCTCGCCGGTGTTATCGAGCCTGTGCTCAGTGCGGAGCTTCTTCAGACTCAGATTTGAGTTAGAAGAAGAACGGAGCAATTATGGGTTACTACCCGTGTGCCATGACGTTGATCTGTTGTTCAAACTTCCATTTTTTTTCTTTTTTGTGTGTGGTTAACATTTCCACAACTTCATAAAAGTTAAACTCATTTTGTTATGTTAGTAGCTTCTTCTCCTTCCTACTTTGTCCATAAAAGAGTGGTCAGTACACTGTGTTGTGGTTTACATTTAAACTGCAGCATTTGCAACTTTCAGTCTAACACATCCAATCTCAGCAAACCCTTAAACAGTTGCCCTTTATGATGTGCTTGTTAACATCTGGCAACATTTGGAGGACTAGGCATGGTAGAATGTTTAGCTTCAAAGTTATTTTTGCCTTGAACAACGTTTTGTTAATGCAGTTTTCACATATGGATGGAAGTCTATGGTTTCACTGCCTAAGTTACTGAGTTAAGTTCTTAGTGCAGCACCGTAAAATGTGTTTTTCACATGGAATGCCTTTCATTTGTGCAGCGGCTGAGTCGTGGTATCCAAAATGGCTGGTAGTCGGTTTACGTATGGGCTGGTGAGATACCTTATGTAATAAGTTAACATGTGTAAAGCCAACTTATCGTGACCGACTACTTTCATCAATGACAAACTGCATTTCTGGTGGCGACTGTTGTTTTGGCACCTTTAGCAACTGCCATATGCATTTTCTGCTTGCTCATATTTCTTGATTGTGGCAGAACTAATTGTTTGTTCACTAGTTTTAAAAACTCGACAGTTAGGGACATTTCATGTGATTTTCACGGGCGCAGAAATGGAGCAAGTATGGGGAACCCATCTGCAGTGAAGTTGAAACCTTGACTACCAATATGACTATGTGCTTCTTAAAGATCAGTGGGTCTATTCCAGATTTGTTCCCAGCAAAACGACCCCAAAACCCAAGCAGGGAATGTTAGTAGTTATTAATGTTATTAACATACAGAGTTTTAGTTGATCCATGTCATGCCAAATCATGCTGTTGGAAGTTACCTGCTGGATTCAGACCAGGTCCATAAGCACGGATACCACTGACATCCACAATTGGCTTCCCAGGCCTGATGTTGGCCTTGAATGGAGATCCTGGTATTGGGCGGTCTCCGTAAGAAATGTTGACATTGTAGATACCAGGCACTGGTGGGGTATAGGTGACCTCGCAGGTCCCATCTTTGTTATCCTTGCACTGGATTGGTGATTCTGCAGGTCCTTCCACTGTCAGTCCTAGACCTCCAGGTAGCTTCTCCTCCCTGGTGTCAATTGTAAACACCGCTGGTTTATTAGCTTCACCACCTGTCAATCCTGGACCATAGGCTTTCACCTGAGGCGGGCCTAAGATAGCATCCACACGGTAAGGTGAATCTGTCAGAGGGATTCCTCCGTAACTCACATGCACCTGGTGAGGGCCTGGTTCCAGCAGGGCAAAAGATGCCTTGGCTCCGTCTCCAGTTACTGTGGTTGGTACATCCACAACTTGGTTGGTTGGAGATACAATCTTGATCTTGGACTCTGCTTTTGGCAAACCACGAGCAATGATGCCAATATCTTTACGCTGTCCAATTGGTACCGCTAAAACAATGATCAGTTAAAATGTGACTTCATTTTCTTAAATGAACTAAGAATATTCACAAAGGACACACTTAACAAATGGCCACTTTCTTCTGTGGAGACAACAAATTAAAGATACCTTATAATTAAAAAAAATCATGAGAAGCAGAACTGGCTGACTGAGAGCCATTCTGGCAAGCTGTGACAATAATGATATTCTAAAAAGTGCTTACTACATGCTGCTTTCTTCTTTTCTTTGCTACTGCTGATTTCTTCTGCTCTTTGCCCCAAGCTGATTTTTTCTGCCTTTTGCTACATACTGATTACTATTTCTTTCTCCTGTAACTATAATCACTGATGGAATACAATTCAGCTGAATTCTCATGTAGAACTCAATTGCTTTCGAGAGCTTTTCTTTAGCTAGGAATTTAATCTTATTCAGTGGGTGTGTATCTCAGCTAAGGAAATGTTCTGAAATTATTATTATTATTATTATTCTCTCTGCTGCTGCTGCTGCTGCTTCTTCTTCTTCTTCTTCTCTTCTTCTTCTTCTTCTTCTTCTTCTTCTTCTTCTTCTTCTTCTTCTTCTTCTTCTTCTTCTTCTTCTTCTTCTTCTTCTTCTTCACTACTTCTTTTACCACTTCAGGTGTTGAGCAAGACATTAGGTTCTTCTTCTTGCTCTTGTGGCTACCTCAGCCATAGACACATCGTGCTGTTGTAGAGCCATTGTGTTCTTGTGCTTTATGTCCTTCTCCTCTTTTGGCATATGCCTTGAATGGGATGGCATCGCAAAGAAATTTTTTCCAAGAGGGAAAACCTTGTAATTTAGAATTGCTTCCGGGCCAACATTTTCTCTAATGACCTTTCTCCTGATTTGATCTCGTCTGGCCACTCCTAAAGTCCTGAAGAGCTCTGAAAATGTTTACTACAGGAAATGATATAATCAGACAATTTTTAGATAAAAAAAATATCAACATATTCTAAAGTGTTGTGCACACATTCCCCAGTGTTGTGCACACATTCTCAAGTGTTGTGCACACATTCTTAAGTGTTGTGCACACATTCTAAAGTGTTGTGCACACATTCTGATGTGTTGTGCACACATTCTGATGTGTTGTGCACACATTCTTAAGTGTTGTGCACACATTCTAAAGTGTTGTGCACACATTCTGATGTGTTGTGCACACATTCTTAAGTGTTGTGCACACATTCTTAAGTGTTGTGCACACATTCTAAAGTGTTGTGCACACATTCTAAAGTGTTGTGCACACATTCATTCATTGGTCTCAGTGATCCTCTTATTCCCTAGAACACAAAGAAAAGCATACAATGAAATATATAATGCTACAGTGGTGTGAAATCTGGTAATCTGGTAATCTGGTAATCCTAGTTTCAGCATCATAGCAAACGGGTCACCCCATATGTTGCTACGCTGGTGTGCCATCGAAAAAACTGAGCTCACAGTGACTGCAGCTGGGTGACGAAACTATATCCTTCCAGTCTACAAATGTGCCACCGCTGGCAGTGTTAAAAAGTGGTCGTCCTAGTGTCCACTGTGACTTGAAGCCTGCACAAGTCAGGAGACCTTGCCTCTTACTCCCCAATTTCAATTCAACCAGGAGAAAACACATCAATTCAAACTCAAGTAGAAAATTATGTAATCTGTTTAAAGAAGTGGAAAAAACAGTATCAAATATATTCTTCAATATAATGTGATGGAAAAAGCAAAACTTATTTAGGAATTATAAACAAAAGGATTTTTTTATAAGCCTGTATAGAAAAATAGTAGCAAAGATAATTTTTTTTACAATTTGTAGAACAAAAAGAAGACAAATTTGTATTTATTGGCACAGTCAGTAATTCTACTGCTACTGAGTTGTCCGCTCTTGAAGACCAATGCTGCTTTAGTGAAGGTTTACTCCCTGGTGCAGAGTTAAATCCCTGCTCTGGGCAGTTTGGCAGCAGACAGCCTTGCATTGGTTCTGACAAGGTGGTTTTGAGAGCCTATCATTAACTCTTTGAGTCCCAGGGGGTTTATCGTCACAGGCCCAAGGGGTAATCAAGAGAGACGTTAAATCGGCACATCATGCGTTCACTGGGCCTCTAGGTAGTAAACTATGAACGTATGATACATTCCTTGGACCTCAAAGAGTTAAGAAAGCAATGGAAACTTAATGAACATAGACACTGCCCTTGTGAAATAACAGTCAAAAAGGCTGGGGTTTGTTCTGCAACGTACTGTAAAAGCTACACAACTTGTCTTGTCTTGTCCACAAAGCCTACACAACTAACTTTTGCACGTGTTTGTTGTTAGTCCGTGTTGCCTCAAAAAAAATATCTTCTGTAGATGCTGTAAGGGTTTTCAATGTGTGAGTTTGTAGCTGCTGGAAATAATTAGAGTAGTCTCTTTCTGATGTTTGGAAGCACAGAATGCTTAAAGAGAAGATGGTCAATAGTTTAAATGTAAAGAAAAATACACCAAAGTGTAACTTACTTGGTTCCAATCCAACCACTCTGACCTTGCTAACATCAATGCTTGGTTCAACTTTGACCTTGATGGGGCTTTGTGGCACTTCTTTGTTAGCAAAGTAAACAAGCACAGTGTACACCCCAGGTGTTTTGGGTTCATACTGAACTGTAAAGGTGCCATCTTGGTTGTCAATAGTCTTTACTGGCACATCCACACCTCTTTCATCAGTAAGGCCAACAGCAACGTCACCTAATTACAACAAGGCAAAAATTAATATCATATATATTCTTCCTCCTTCATTTCTGTATAATTAACCACTGATGGAAAAGTAATTTCCAGTCATCAAAGTCTAATGGCAAACTTGTGCCAGTCTATAAAGATCCATGCTAAAAAAAAAAAACCATTGCCAAATACTGCCTGTATTTTACCAGTTTTGCAGTGTAGGCAGGGAGGTTTTTGAGCCTGAGGATTGACGGCCGCACTGCTAGTGCTGTCGCCACGGACTGTGCAGGTGAGAATTTTATTTTGCCCGATCCATGTTTAAAACTGCATTTTATAAACATATGAACATCTTAAGTAATAAGTTACTGGCATTGACAGTTAGAAAAAAGAATTCCTGCATGTTATATGGAATAAACTGATAACATTATCCAGAAAACGAAGAATCACCAACATCAAAATTGATGAACATCAATTAAAGCAGGCAAAGGACTTTAGGTATCTGGGGAGCATTTTTCCAGAAGATGGAAGAACTATTAAGGAAATTCAACAAAGATGAAAAAACACCAATTAAGTTTTAGGCCAAATGGCACAAATTTTTGAAATGCAAGCATGACACATGAATATGAACACTAAAAGAACACTGCTCAACACAATTATTCTCACCAATGCTATATTATTATTGTCAAACGTGGACACTGTGTTCAAAAGATGGATGGAAAATAATCATGACAGAAATTAAATGTTTATGTACAATGCTAGGTGTAACAAGGAAAGATCGACTTAGGAACAATGATATCAGAAGAAGAGTTGACACAAAACCAATACTAAACTTTATTAGCAATTTAATACAAGTATCTATAAACATCATCATCATTATAAACCACTTCTGTCGTTAAGCGCCGTGGGGAGGAATAATTTAAAATCCAGTAGCTGTCACTAGCTACTGGTTATGCCCGTGAAAACAAAACAAAAAAGAAGGCGTAGTGTTCTTTAATGTTTGTCAACCCATTATTTGTTTTTCCGTGGCCCATCCTACTTGCTCTTGAGCAGCTGATCTTTTGAGGATGATTAAGTGCTTTGATGGTATTTGTGATCTCCATTTATTGAATTGTAAACATTATAGATCAAATCACGACAAAGATCACAAACATCAACAAACAGGGGTGTAACCCATAATTGCTATATTTCTGACATAGTCCAGCACAGTGCTCCTAACTCTGTTGCATCAGCAGGTATCCTGAAATACATTTAGGTAGATTTTTTAACTCAACATCTTGACCTTGGGACAAGATGGACCAGGACTAACATAACAATTTTAATTTTATTTTCCTAAGCATGCCAAGAGAATTTTAATTACAAAAAAACTGCTCGAATGCAAAAATCAAATCAACAACACGGCTGTCAAAAATCGACAAATACTACATTAAACAAACCACACAAATAGAAGACGCAAGGGAGAAATTAACAGAGATCCAAGTGAAAAATCCTAGCCGGCCCTGGAGGATCCTGAAGACCTCGGAAGAAACCAATAAAACCACAAGAAAAACATCAAGGGTTGAACGCCTAAAACAAGGCCTCAAGACCATTCGCAACACACCACTACACTATAGATGTATATAAATAGAAATAGTAATGATAAATTTTTGCTGCGTTCTAACCAGCACAACGGACTAAACAGACGGTTGATCTGTGATACTTTCAAATGACTACCTAGTACTGATGTGTCATTCCACACTAATTTGTCTGATTCAATAAACATCCACTCTGATTTTCACTCAATGGGCAGCTTGATAGTATGTTGGCAAACCTCTCAGGCATCTCAATACAAACACAAGTAGTGATTTTGCACAAATAACAGATTGACAACAAAAAGTATAATTAGCGACACGATGCAAACTTTTGTTATAAACAAAATTTTGTTAAACAAGACTAACAACCCCACTTGACGCAACTTAGGAATACAAGTTTTTCATACACTAAACTTAACAGACATTGATACTCCCTCTGTCATAAAAAGAGTACACAGACAAAACTACAACGGACTATCTAGGTCTCCTCTGGCAATGTTTTTTGAGAATACGTAATAACTAAATACAAGTATACACATATCGACACGTTAACCAAAATATCAGGAACACATTGCATAAAATATGGATAAACATACCCATAAATATAGCGGTTTAAGGTAACTCTTGAAGGAAGAATAGATACCAACACAATACATGGCACATGGGTAAAGTACAAAAACAACACCAATAAGCGGCTCCTTCTACTATCTCGAAGCTAACATATCCAAAGCGAAAGCTCACCAAAGTACCCAGGCTCGATAGTTAGCACCGCAATCAGAAAAGGAATACCACACTGAAAATAACTGATGGGTCAGATTTTCAAACATACAAAAATTTTGCCTGAGCAGCGCCTTTAGGCAAAAAACTCAATTTTGCAGACAACAGACCTGCCTTTAGGCAGAACAATTTTTACATTTCGCTAAAATAGCACACGAGCAATCCGATCTCACTACCGGAGACCGGAGGGGATTAGTTACTACTTAGAAGTTCACAATACTAGATGTGAAAACAATCACCAGACCCTCACCAACCTGTAACCAATCTAGCAAAGCAAAAACACTACAAAGGCAAGGCAAAACACACACAAAAATGCATTGCTGAAAAGATCACGCAGGCATCCAAACCCCCCCTTTTACCGATTACTCAAGGAAACAAATGTTCACCGAGAGTCCTCGACCTGGCAAGGGCGCTACACAAAATATGAATAATATGAGTCCAGCCTAGCCATTTATGCTCATGGGTATAATGACTTTAAGATCGCCTGTCAGGACAAGTAATTTTACGTCTCCTTTGATCACAAAAATACAACATCAACACTTGCAGGAGTTTCTTTTTCAGGAGGTACTTGGTGGCAGGACGATCAGCGTAAGCCATTTTTATATGGCTCACATAAAACACAATGCACAAGTTTACTTCCAAAGATGAATGGTTGCACGTGACGATATATCGGGGGTTTGGTGAAGCAGCCAGCCAGCCAGAATATCAGAAAAATTCAATCCTGCTTAAACTAAACAAAATCTAAAGAAGGTGTTCACCTGGTCCAGCCTCTTTGCAGTCCACAACAAAGTAGGTCGGGGTGAAGGTCTATAACACCCATTTCTACACACACACAGGTCACATAATTAAACCACATTTCTAGAACCTTCTAACGCAGGGTTTACCTTGGCTCTGAATACCAATAGCACAAAACTGATATCGCATTTAAAAACATAATACAGCTAGTTAAAGACACATTAAATATCTATAAAAATATACTTTGGACGAAAACAAACAATGCGACACACAGACATACCCCCGGGCGCTCGGCTTGCGGTCAGTCGGAGGTATCAGTGCGGCTAGACAGGGTCCAGACGTAGGGCTCTGGACAATACTTCTCATCAAAATGGACCTTGGCTTTCAGGTCAAAAAAACAATCTTGAGTTGGGTACCCGAGGTACAGTTTTTCTTGGAAGTAAAAGGTCGGCCAAGAGATATATGCTCAGACCCTATGCACCCACAAAGTGGCTGACTCGCTTCCTATAAACTCAATAGGTCTATAGCCCTATAGTACAACCAATACCCTGACAGGCGAGCAAGTGAAAAAGGTCACTTGAATGCTGTAATCACTTTTACTGCACTCGACTGACTTGTAAATCAAAAAGACGCTAGCACACAACATTCATAGAAGCATTCCATGTACTTTTTTAACGTCCCGGGGAGGGGATAGGGGGAGGGGGGGGGGGAGGGTTCAATTAACTCATTTAAAAACACTGAGGTGGAACACAGAGCAGCAGACTTTTAAATCAGGTGTGCCAGCAGAGACAACACTTTAGATGTGTCAAATATTTGTTGGTTACTGTATATAAGGATGTGCGGCACGATGTGGATGGAGTCTCGATTGAGGGCTGTGATAGTCAATTCAGATGAGCATAGTGATATCCATTCTTATTCATTCACATCAATCTGGTCAGTGGTGGTCTATCTCAATCATTCATTCTTCATTCATTCAGATCATCCATGACGAATACTGCTCAGGTAAATTGCAACCAATATTCGATCTGAAATCGAAAAAAAAAACAAAGTTTTTTTGTGTTTTAAAAATACAAGCAGAGGCTAGATAATGTTTTTCTGCGTTCACCCGTAAATGGGCCCCCCTTTTGTCTCATATTGATATATTGTTATTTTACAGCTATTTTTGTGAACAAGTCTGTGTAAAACTTTAGCCCAACACATAAGTATTCAGCAAATTCCTAATTAGTCATCTTTTACAAGATGTTTGTTGGAAAAGGGGGGAAGGGGGATGGGGTAGTGGGTCTGCTAATTATGCTGCCCTCAAATGGAGGACCAGGAAATTGAGGAGAGCTGGGGCATGGAATACTGAGTCATGGTAGTGTATGTTAGTCTCTTGCTTCCTAACCAAATGGTAATGGTTCAATCACAAGTGAAATGTAAATAAACCAATTCTGACAAACACAACAAAATGACAAAAGAAACGTGGATTGCCTATCCTTCTTCATTCGTTATGCAAGTCACTCAATAGCTATGAGCAATCCGGTGGAGTCCTCGCTCGATATGTTACATAAACCATAATGGACTTTGGACTCTTTTAAGCCAAGGCTGAATTTATGTGTATGATTATGAAGTCAATAAGAAGTCCAATGGTTTCCTTTAAACCAACCAACATTGATGCACTTGTCCATAGTTTTATCAGTCCTCCCAACCTGTATGCCATAGAACTGCATGCTCCTGTTTATCTAGAACACATTCAATTGTCCGCATCACTCAGCCTGCAAGAACTGCAGTGATGAGGCAATACTGAATTTTGCTAAACCAAAAAAAAAACACACATATCAAATCTTACCGCATCAACTATAAATCAACTGCGAACATGGATCTGATGACAGGCTAGCGAAAACTGTTTGTGACGGCACCTTTGGCGAATCGCAAGCTTGAACCAGATGCTAGCGAAACAAAACAAAACGCTAAAAGATCATAATCCACGTCTACTGCGAGGACAAGAACCAGAAAGCATAGCCGTTCGGAGTTCATCAGAGTGAAAAAAACAAGACAAAAAAAAAAGAAAAAAAGACAAAAAAAAAAAACGGATCTGGCCGACGCTCAACACTCAGTAGAAAAGGGTTAACGACACAGATGCTAAAAACAATACAGAACAACGTTACGGGTACATACGCGGAATACAGGCAAACACCTATCGCTGAAATATAAAGCTGCAACAATTGGGGGATAGATAGCGTATGGGAAAAGTGATCCCAAGTGACTAAATCATGGTCGATTCTGACAAAATTCAAATAAATATTACAAATTACACCATTTGGAAGAACACGGAGTAGTTAAGTCACGATCTCAGACGAACAGTATTTTCTCATCAGCATAGTCGTGAGTATTCTGTCAAGCGAAACAGTCGTTCTTATTCCAATCCAAGTGATAAGGACCACTCTTTCTTTCATCTGTCATGAAACTGCAGTTGAATGTTTATGAGTCGGGAGGTGACTTATAAGTCCAATACACGCCCAGAAGAGTCTAGGACAATGAGGGCCGGGCACAGTGTCAGTAGACAAAGGGCCTGTTTGACGGTTCTTTCTGGCCTGTCTTCCCTGTTAAGCTGCCCTTGTTCTAGATAGCTCGCAGATCATTGCACCATTTCAGATATATGTGTGCCATAAAGTCCGGTCTTGTGCTGCAGCCTCCCAGGTGTCAGGGTTTATACTAAGGCTTTCAATGATGCCTTTAGAGTGTCCTTGAAGCGCTTTTTTCTGGCTCCATGGGAGTGTGGCCTCCATGTATCTCACCACAGAAAATTATTTTTTGGAACCCATCGAAGCTGTGACTGCATCAGGATGGTATTGAATCTGTGACTGCATCAGGATGGTATTGAATGATCTGTGACTGTATGGTGAATCTGTGACTGCATCTGGATGGCATTATTTGACGCATCGGAATCTGTGGTATTAAATCTGTGACTGCATCAGGATGGTATTGAATCTGTGACTGCATCAGGATGGTATTCAATCTGTGACTGCATCAGGATGGTATTGCATCTGTGACTGCATCAGGATGGTATTCAATCTGTGACTGCATCAGGATGGTATTCAATCTGTGACTGCATCAGGATGGTATTGAATCTGTGACTGCATCAGGATGGTATTGCATCAGTGACTGCATCAGGATGGTATTGAATCTGTGACTGCAACAGGATGGTATTGAATCTGTGACTGATCAGGATGTATTGATCTTTGGATGGTATTTCTGTGACTGCATCAGGATGGTATTGAATCTGTGACTGCATCAGGATGGTATGAATCTGTGACTGCATCAGGATGGTATTGAATCTGTGACTGCATCAGGATGGTATTCAATCTGTGACTGCATCAGGATGGTATTGATGCTGGGAATGCCAGCCCTGTCTAGTAGGACGGTGTCCTGGACTAGCACATAGAGTATTTACTAAAACAAAATGAACCCCTTGCCACATCGGGCACAGTCGGGTACTACAATTGAAACACTACAGAACTAGCATGACACTCACCCTGAATGGTGCCTTGGGAATTATGACCCCACCATATGTTATAGTCACTGTGTGCTTGACATTTCTTGTAGGGAAGTATCGGCAACTGTATGTGCCATTACCATTGTCTTGTACCTGTAGGACAGATGATCATTACATCAGTGTGATCAATTGACCGCCAAAATGACTGAACTCATGAAAGAATTATTGACATGTATGCTGGTGGATACACAAAAAGCAACAGGAGCTTTCTCAGTACTGGGACATTTGTAGAGGTCAACAGAAATTTAAACTAATACTAAACTTAAAATCTGTAAAACTAATTTAAAATCAGTACTGTTGTATGAAGCGGAAACATGGAGACAACTAAGGCAATTACTAACAAACGAGAAACATTCATTAACTGGTGCCTGCACAGAGTAAAGGGAATTAAATGGTATGATAGAATGATAGAATCACTAATGTAGAGCTTTGGGAGAGAACTAAAAACATTCCAGTGGACAGAGAGCTGAAGAAAACATGCTGGTGTTTGATAGGACACATGTTGAGAAAACCTGAGAACAATTCTTCTTGGTCTTCCCCTGCCTTTTGATGTTTAGATTTTCAGGTTGTATGCTTTTGCTGCTGGCATGTTGGGTTTCATTCTCATCAGATGGCCAAACCATTTCATTCTTTGTTTCTCAATAAATTTGACGATGGGTATTGTTCCAACAGTTCTTGTGATCACGTCTTTTCTCACTCGATCTCTTCTGCATTTTTTTCACATTCTCTAAACATCTAATTTTACAGGTGGTTAGTTTTCTTTCATGTTCTTTTGTCAATGTCCAGGTCTGACGTTAATATAAATATTGTATTTACAATTTATCTTTTTGTCTCTAATGGGATAGCTGGGTGTTTTAAAATTGGAGCAAGTAGGTACCTGTTCATCAGTATCTCAAAAAGGATATCTCTGTAATCAAGATCTTTCACTGTTTTAAGTTTTGTGATTTACCTATAAAGGTTTTTTTTAGCAGGAAACCAAATAAAGCAGTGAAACCTAATTTATATATACATAATTCCTTTAGCAGTAATAAAATATATAAACTGACATCTCATCTATATGTTAATGATTCCTTAAACATGCCTCAACAAGCCCTGAAACCTAATTACATAATCCCTTTAAAAAATTCCTAACAATTAGTAGTAAAAAAAAAGGACATCCTAAAAGCTGATCTATAAATAACACTGATTCTTTGAACAGAAAGAAACAAAATAAACCACTCAACTGATAGATAAATAAATGATTCTTTTCAAAGGAAACCAAACAAAGCCTTGAAGCTTATTTGTAAAAAACATTGATTCTTTTAACAGGAAACAAAATAGCTCTAAAATCTATTCTTTTAATTTATGATTCTTTTAGCAGAACTCCACAAAATTAAAAAAAATGTAAACATGTTAGCTTTGGAAAATAAAAAAACTGACCTGCACATCCAGAGGCTTGTAGTCCACATCCATACAGCTGATGTGGAGTGGAGCCTTGCCAGCAGGGCGGGTGTCCACGGTAAACTCCGCCCACTTGTTTGGTGCCAGGCCTGTTTTCTCCAGCCCAGGACCTTTAGCTACAACCTGCAAGGTACACACAAAAAATGTCCACACAATATTCATGACGTATCAACACACTGAAAATAAAAAACAAATATACTCCCTCGAAGTCAGAGTACATCTGCCTGAGAGGAAGAGACAAGAACTGCACACAAATATGCAACTAAAACAGATGTATACACAAAACTCAGGTCCTGGTACAAAGCTTAAAGTCCAAAAGGATGAACAACTAGGACTTTCTTCTGGAATTCAAAGCTCGTGAATGCAAAGAAGAAAGAAAACATTTATAGAATTATGCAAACAAACACAAATTGAATTAAAATCAGAAGAAGACAAAGAAACAGTATATAGAACAAACAGGCAAACTTAATTTTTAAAGGGTTAAGAATTGGACACAAGCCCATATAGATAGACAGGCAAACAGCCAGATAAATAGACAGATAACATTAAAGGCATACTCAGTCATCGAGGATGTGACACAACAAGGCATACATCTGGTCTAGTAAGACAAGATGTTGCTTCCCATACTGCCTATGCTCATCTCAACATATACAAGGGAACATCACATTAAAACCTCAAAAGAAATTACAATAACCATGCTTTGTCTTTTAGCCTGTCAATATAATTGTTCAGGATTTCAAGAGTGTTAAACACATGCCATCACAGTGCAGATCAACAGAATGACATCATAATGACAGTTTAAAGATACCACCTCACTTTTGATATGCATCAGAGAGGAGCAGCCTTCTAAAATCAATTTTTGATGACTGAAGGGTTGAAACTTACAGAAATTCACTGGTCCAGTACGGTGATGAATACTTTTTAGTCCAGCAAATGAAGGAGTGAAGTAAGAAGTTTTAAAATGGCTAACTTCTGTGTGCCTGACCAAGTCATGAACAGTCTGTCCCAGAATTCACTCCGTTTTGAAACCTTCTACTTCACTCATACATTCTCTGAACTGACAGGCATGCAGCACAATACTTGACCTTCATTCACAAATGAATTTCTATAGAAGGGGCTACGTGGTCTCGAGGCATGGTGTTCACCTTAAGTGCTAGAGGTTCCAGGTTCAATTCCCGGTAAGGGCATGCATTTTTTCATGTGGATTCGGACTCTGAAAGGTGAGATCGGACGCCCATGTGCGTTGTTGCGCACAAAAATAAATCCTTTTCAGTTGGAAATAAAAAAAAAATAGCCTGACAAGAATAGCCTGGGCAAAATTTGGTGTTTACAAATCTACCTAAAGTATTTCAGGATTCTTTCCTGTGCTACAGAGTCTGTGCCAATTCAGACTTGAGATAGAAGAACAGAGCACTTATGGGTCACACCTGTGTGCCATGATGCTGATCCATTGTTCAAAACCAGTGAATTTCTACAAGTTTCACTTCTACACTGATTTATTTGAAAAAAAAAAAAAAAACTGATAACAGAAAGCTGCTTCTATTTGATGCATGTCAAAAATAGGGTGGCCATCTTTAAACTTTCATTATGACATCACCTTGTTCGTCTGCATCATGATGTCACATGCTTAATACTCTTTACATCTTTAACAACAATAGTGACAGGTAACTAGACAATAGCCTGGTTAATGTAATTTTTACCAGACTTTTAAGGTTTTCAGTTAAAGCCCCATCATATATCAGGAAAAGAAACCATTCTCAAAGGACTAGACCAGGGTTGTTCAACTAAGTTTACTCAGGGGCTAAAGTTGTGGAAATAGGGATCACAACAAGTCAAAGGTCAGAGCCACAGCATAGATGGATCAGTAATACAATAAACCTGACAATGATGCATCCTGGGTCACAGATTTGTTAACGACACAATGTTAGTATAAAGGTTAAAAAAATATAATATAATAATAACATAATATATAAATATAAAAAAACAAATATATACTCTGGGAACTCAATAAAAATTATATATCCCAATTTGAAAAAAAAAATTAACATCTACTACCACTAAATTTGGGGAGCTGACATGGTGTAGCCGCTAGACGCTCACTTGCAGATTGGAAGGTCATGGATTCGTATCCTGACAAGCCACATTTTTTTTCATAAATGACCTTGACTCCTAGGTGACCTAGCCTTGAGCGGGTACCGGGTGCCATTCTGGAAAATAAAGGTGACTGGCATGATGCTGACCACAGCACCCACCACCCAACTGGTCTATAAAATATAGGTCTAGCCCTATATGCCCAATACGCCTAAAGGCCTGGAGAAAGGTCCTTCCTTGACCTTTACTACTAGATGGGGTCATCAAAGATGCAAACAGGGGTGAATGGAGAGTGAGAAGCAACAATGAAATTCATAATCTGTTTAAATAACCACTGATAACTGGCATCATGAGAGCTAATAGACTGAAATGGTTGGGGCATATTGTGAGAATGTTAGATGACAGAGAAGTAAAAACTGTATACACCAGGGAGATGAATGGTTGTAGACCACGAGGCAGACCAAGAAGACGATGGAGAGATAATATCGACCTGCAAACATTTGATGTCACCAAATGGAAAGAGAAGGCCAACCAGAGAACGAACGAACAAACTTTATTTTCAAAGGGTTACAAATTGGGCACGCAGGCCCGTCTGACATTCGGCCCTTCTAAGTACTAATTTTTCAGAGTACCAATACCTGTTATCAATAATGCATGTTATGGAATTAAAAAAGAAATATAAATTATAGTATAATGCATACACACATCATGTGTACACAATCGTACACACTCACACACACACGTATACATACTCCTGTGTTCTCATACATGCGAACTCATATACAGACATACATGATACATACACACATGCATCTACATACATATACAAGCATACACATACATAGACATAAATGCACAAACAGAAAACACACACACGTACATTTATGGATATACATGCACACACACATTCCATACATACACATCTATACATGCACCCATGCATACACACGTTTACAATCACATGTACAGACACCAACATATGCCCAAAACCACACATTTACACTTACATGAATACATACACCCACATACATGAATACATATATTCACACATACATACATACATACATTTATACATAAACTCACATCTTTACATACATACATACATACATTTATACATAAACTCACATCTTTACACACATACATACATACCTAAATATACTTTCATATATCCACATGCATACACACACAATCACACACGCATGCATACTTGCATGCTTGAATAAATACACAAACACACACATACCTACACAGCTACATATACCTGCGTACACCCACATTATACATAAATATACACACACACATACAATCACATACTTACACAGCTACATTTGCATTCATACATTCTCATACATACAGACATACATAATACATACATGCACATACATACATATACGCACACATACAAACATCCACATGTATACAAACATACATACATAGGCTAAATCTGCATGCATAATAATACAAACATACATCAACATACATATACAAACATAAAACACATACATCTATTTACATAGACATACATGCGAACACACACACACACACACCCATACATACACACATTCATACATACACTCACATACTTACAAACATACATACATACTTGCAAACACACATAAACTTGCAAACACACATAATGCAAACACACAGAGATGAATGGAGGCGGGTGATATCTGCAGCAATGAACCTCATCGGCTCAAAATGCTGAAAAAGAACTTGATGTAGTCTGCAATCTGCCAGTTGAAAAGCCTTGAACCAAACAATATACTTTCTCTACATAAGAATGCGCACAAGAAAGATAATGATAATGATGGAGGCAATGTTGACTACGATGATGAAATGCTATCACTGCAAACAAACCTTGCCAGGATTGTATGCCTGAGGAGCAATGATGTCGGCCATGTACGGAGAGTTGGGAATGTCCTTATCATTACACAAGACATGAACTGCATACTCTCCAGCTTGAGTGGGCCAGTAGGTCACATCAGCAGAGCCATCCCCGTTATCTTTGCAGTCAATCTTTGCCTGAGATGGGCCCTCAATGGAGAAGCCTAATGTTCATAAAACAGATTTCATTTAGAATTACAAAACAATCACAGATATTATTTACCATGATAACAGGAACTGTGATAGCATAGTGGCTTGACACTCACTGCTAGCTCAAAAGTCTCTGGCTTGATAAGATAAAAATAACTCCATAGGGGAGTATGCAGCAGGGGTCCACCGATCATCAGTAGAAAGATCCCTCATCCATGATTGTTTCAGCCCATTTCCTCCAATACAGTCTCAGAAGGTGGACTGGTCTGGGTCATGACGCCAGGTCTCGATCTTACCTTGCTGCACTTTACCGGATGTTCTCAGACAGGGTCAAGACGATATGGTGATTTGTAACAGGTGGTGTGAGAATTATGGTATTTTCCGCTTTGGTAGCAAATTAGATCAGTCAACTGCCTTATGACCAAGCTTTCGGTTGGTTCATCGGACAGTTGTTAGACTCTGGCATTTGGACTGTAACAGTCGACAGAGAGACACTGGCAGACATTTATCGGACACTTTGGCTTTTAAGGGATAAGACATTCTTTTTCACTAGAGACTCGCACCAGTCTACCAAGGCCAATCCCCCATCACGTTCCATTGTGTCCAGAGTCAGCTTGAAGCTCTTTCAGCAGCTTCGCCCTGTTGTTTCTAAATCATCTGCAAATTCTTCTTCTTCTTCTTTCGTTTGCTTGAAATAGATTATCTGTATCTGCAATGTTGTCTCTAGAATGAACTTCACTGTCAGCGACCCATAAAGTTTGGCTTGCACCGGTGTTTCTCATGGCCAAAAGTTGTGCCTTGATATGTTGTATTTGGGACAGTCTGGGAGGATGTGATCTGTTGTCTCAGGTGCTATTCCACATGTTTTTCAAAACTGATTTTGTCTTCAGGATGAAACAGCCTGAAATGGACTCAGGTAATGTTCTGGGAAGTAAACCGGGCGGCAAGATTTTAGACTAATTACTACCACAACCAGAAATACTTGCCTAGAGCACCAACTTCTCCATTAGTTTCAACAGTGAAGACTGCAGGTTGGCTCACCACACCTCCTTCCAAACCAGGGCCAAAGGCTCTGATCTTTGTATTCCAAATAGGGCCAACCTCCACCTGTGAAAGAAAATTAATATTAACGATTTGAATAACAATAGAATAAACAGCCTAAAAAGTCTATGGTTAAGCACCAGCAAGGAGATCAAAATTAGAATTTTGAGAGCATGCATCTTACCTGTAGCAACATATGGATGTGAGTCGTGGACTATCTCTCAGTCCTTAAGAAATAGGGGCTTTTGAGCTGACATGCTATAGAAAGATTCTCAGAATATCTTGGATGAAAAAGACGAGAAATACTGCCATCTTGAAAGATCTGAATATCAAGGAAGGTTGGCTAATAAACAGCATCCTGTCTCGGAAGCTGGATTATTTTGGTCATATCAAGCGCCACGATGGATTGGAAAGGGAGGGAATTATAGCAAAGAAGGCAAGGCATGGAATGAACCAGGAGGGAGGGGGACATGCAGTCCTTCTCAGACACCTCATTTCTGTGGTTACTAATTTTCTTTTATGGTTTGTTGTGAGTGACAATGTCTGACACTGGTAGCATAGAGTGTTTGCTTTGAATGTTTACTATAATTTGTTGAAAGTACATTTGACATTATATACTTCTATAATGTTATACAAAATACATAAGCTATGTTATGAGAAGAGGGAAAATGGAACATGCTGTGACCACTTGAAAGATCTGTAGAAGAAGGGATATAGGAGGACAACGAGAGAAGATTCTTGACAGTTTTGTTGCATGGCATGAAGGTGTGTCAGCACATGAACTGATCCTGCTGCAGGAGATCGCAGATTGTGGAGAGGCATGATGACCTTTGCCATTCTGCAAGGCATCTGATGACGATGTAATACTGAATAACAAAACAAAACTGACAGGCACAAATATCCATTAGTGGTATAGAAAAACACTATATATCCAAATTAAAACCCAGAAAGGTTAATTCAGGATATTGTTGTATAAATTACTACCACTAACACTTTGAATCTTGCCAATAGATAAATCACATCTATTGCACCAAAGCCCATAAGAAAAGCAATGAATAAATAACACTGTAACCTGATGTAAGAGACAAGCAAAGCGGGTTTATGTAAGACAGAACAATTAACCCAACAGAAAACATCAGCTGTAAAATGCAACCAATTATGAGCATCTAAACAAACAAATGAACAAACAAATCTTCAAACGAGTTTACTAAGATCTATGACATGAAATGGCAAGTGGCTCGCTGCTACAGAATTGGTGATCTGTCTTATACAGTAATGCATGTACACCTGCTAGTTTGTCATGACTGCTGCTTCCATCAGCTATGAATAGCAATTCAAGTGACAAACTTTAGGTATTATTGAAAACTCTAGTGACAGTCTTATGTATATGATGCATGTGTGAGCTGTTGGGTTTACCAGGACTGCTGTATGTTTGACCTTACACATCAGGCAGGGATATGCATTATATCTGTTCTCCCCTGCCACAAAAATGGAACAATTATGGGGTGGTCTGTTTTTGATTAGGCTGGAACCCTTATATAGCCTGATGGCCTGCTTTGGGAGATAAAAGTTAAAAGGGGCAGAAAAAAACTGACACCAATCTGAAATCCTCTGTGGAGTATTAAAAGCTTTCTGTACAAACAATTTCCTCTCACAAGGTCATTACATTTCTTTACCTTTGCATAGATGCGCTAGCAAAGATACAATCTCTAAGAAAAATAAAAAGTGTCTGATTGTGAAAATAGCAAAATATACAATTGAAGGGACCAGCTGAGAAGTTAGATTTATTTAGCATGTTCTGATTTAATTTAAAAACATTAAGAGAACACATTATGGGTGTGAACATTATGGTCATGTATATTTTTGCAACTTTCATGTAAAAAGATACAATCTTTCATGCATGCACATAAACACACACACATGCAATGTGTGTGCATGAGTGTGTGCTTTTTCTTTGTTCTTCGACATCCACTACAAGGGAAATAAGTCATGTATATTTGTCTCCTTCTGTTGTAAGGTCATCATCATGTGGCAGGTCTTCTTCACTCACTCCAATCACAGCCTGCCTGAAAGAAACTCAAGTTTCTCTTTCCCATCATGTGCTTTTTTACCCTAGGTATCTCATACGTTTTGTGCCCATCTTCGTGCTGGTCAACCCCTGCCCCTCCGCTACTGTTCTTTCAAATCCACAGGGGCACATGATTTGGCCAAAGTATTTCAAACCCTGAGACATGATGCTTTTTATAAACCAGTTTTCTTTGATGTTCAGATCTTTTCAATGAATCAGTCATCATATTTTTTTTAACAGAATATCGTTTTCTTTACGGCACGCCTGAAAGTCTCTCATTCTGTAGCCACCTCTCCAGCACTGTGTACTTTCATATCCAATGTATCTTCAATGTCCTGTAGCCACTTCTCCAGCACTGTGTACTTGCATATCCAATGTATCTTCAATGTCCTGTAGCCACCTCTCCAGCACTGCGTACTTTCATAACCAATGCATCTTCAATGTCCTGTAGCCACCTCTCCAGCACTGTGTACTTTCATATCCAATGTATCTTCAATGTCCTGTAGCCACTTCTCCAGCACTGTGTACTTTCATATCCAATGTATCTTCAATGTCCTGTAGCCACCTCTCCAGCACTGTGTACTTGCATATCCAATGTATCTTCAATGTCCTGTAGCCACCTCTCCAGCACTGTGTACTTGCATATCCAATGCATCTTCAATGTCCTGTAGCCACCTCTCCAGCACTGTGTACTTTCATATCCAATGTATCTTCAATGTCCTGCATCCACCTCTCCAGCACTGTGTACTTGCATATCCAATGTATCTTCAATGTCCTGCATCCACCTCTCCAGCACTGTGTACTTGCATATCCAATGTATCTTCAATGTCCTGCATCCACCTCTCCAGCACTGTGTACTTTCATATCCAATGTATCTTCAATGTCCTGTAGCCACCTTTGCAGAGGTTTATCTATACCTTGTTTTCCAGAAACTGAACCCTTCATCACCATTCTCTCTAGACCTCCATGGTGCTTGATTAAGCCAAAGTACCTAAGTTTTCAGGACAGGATGCTGTTTATGAGCCACTTTTTCCTAATGTTTAGGTCATGCAGAATGTTTGATGTTTTTCTTATTCATTTAGAATGCCAATATTTCTTTTCCTTTTGGTCCACGGTTTTTTAAAAACCATTCCAAAGCATCTCAGCTGAGAAGGCCCTATTTTCTTCCTTAATGACCGTGAGATAGTCCACAACTCACATCCATCTGTTGCTGCAGAAATAATGCATGCTCTCAAAACTTTGACTTTGATTTGCTTGCTAGTCCTTAGCCATAGACTTTGAATGCTTCTGGCAGGTATAGAAGAAAATAAGCTCTTGTATAATATACCAATGTAGTTGACTCGTGGTATGAACACCTACCTTAAATGGAGATTTGTTGATATGCTGATCGCCGAAAGTGACATTGATGATGTAGGTGCCTGGTTTAGAGGGAATGTAAATACATTCATAAACTCCCTGGTCTCCAGGTACAGGCTTTACCTGGCACTTCTCCTCAACTCCACCTGTGACATGAGAAAATGGAAATTATGGTGTTGACCTGATGAAAGGTGTAACAGTAGAAAAGTAGTATACGCAATAACGGTAGCAGAATTTAGTGTTCATTAGTGGCTGGAGTCTCTGAGCAAAGGTTTAAGTGAAGACAGAAGGAGTTGTAATTTTTTTAATAGCAATATTTAATCAACTGAATGCAGCTAAAACATTTACCATGTTTATTCACACAATTACAATTTATATTTCAAGAAGAAAACTTAAAAACATGCACTAATTAAACACTTTTTGTTTAAACCAAACAGCATCTGAACCATTTGTGGAAGGCCAATCAGCTGCAGATGAAATGTCTAAGTCAACTTTCTCTTCTTTTCTCTACTCCTAGAATGCCTTGTGGTGTCAACTTTAACTCTTTGAGCCCCAAGGAACACATCAAACGTTCATAGGTTCCTACCTAGAAGCCCAATTAACGTATGATGCTCCAATTTTGTGTCTCTCTTTGCTACCTCTTGGGCCTGTGATGCTAAAACATCCTGGGATTCAAAGGGTTAAGATATGGGTATCTGTCAGAAAATAACATGAGAGCAAGATGATGGAACGGTAAAGTAATTCCTTTTCAGTTACTGCTGTTTGAGAGTGAAGTTTTAGGTGTTTATTGTTCTTCTTCTTCATTTCCTCGTGTACTGCTTCGGATGATGTTAAACAGAAATAAAATTTTGGCTCTTGCTCTTCTGCACCTCAACCATAGATACAATGTGCTGATGTAGAGTTTCCCTGATGTTTTCTTTCTCTTTTGTTCTTAATCTACCTCTTGCTGTACATCCCTCTTATCTTTTGGTGTATGCCTTGTGTAAGGTATTAAGTATGTGGGCTAATTCTTTTTCACTTAAAAAAGATTATCTATTTCTGCAATGTTGTCTTCAGTATGAACTTTGCTGTCTTTTTTAATTCACTTAGCGACCCTTAAAGTTTGTCTTTTTCTTCTCTTGACCAGAAGTTTTGTCTTGATATGTTGTAGTTGGGACAGTCTTGGAGGACACGATCTGTCATCTCTGGTGCCAATCCACACATGCACATGGCTGATTCCTCAATCTTAAAATGTTGTAGACTCTGTTGAACATGGTGCAGCAATGTCAACAAACATATAATGACTCCTTAGCTTGTTTTGCAGGGCTGCTCTAACTCTGGCAGAAGCTGGAGATCTGGCCCAAAGAAGCTACACAACAACATAAGCTGTGGGAGCTGTTAATAAATGTTCCCATTAAGAAATGAGGTTAAATACTAAACATAAATTACGTGCTTGAATTTGATTGAATGGTCCAGAGTACAATGTAGAATTAATAAATTGTGGCAAGCGTGCAAGTTGGCTGAAGTGTACCATAGTAGAGGAGGTGTGAATCAGGGGTCGAATGATCAAAAACAAAAGAGAGAGAGAGAAAGATTATTAAAGCTTAGAATGATCTAGAAGAGTCAGTCTTGTTTTCGATCTGGAAAAAGTGTCTCTCACAGTGAAGAGTGAGAGCTGAATAAAACCTTAAGATTCGATTGTGAGTCCCCTGGAAAGCTGGCCATCCTGTTTAGCCTGACCTCTTGTCAAGGCTGACATTGTTGTGCTGTGGATGTGAGCAATTGTAAACCTGCAGTGCCTATGCTTTCAGAAGTGTTATGGTTCATCATCTTGTGTAAGGTATGAACACAATTATTTATGCTGTTATAAGTGGCCGATTTTGGTCACAATAAATGTTTCTACTCTAAGTACACTGGCCGAGAAGCAGTTGTTGGAATGAATTTACATTTCACAATGATCAACTGTGTGTCATTTCTAGCGTTTATTGTTTTATGCTCAAATTGTTGAATTATCTGTCAGTGAGCATGTGAAGGCTGCTGAAGAGTTATTGCAGAGACTCAGAGGTGACCTCAGATACACTGTCCTATTTGTTAGCCAGATGGGATTGAATGTTAAGCATAGCTGATGTCAAATGCAGAAGAAGAAGAAGAGAAACGCATCTGCAGCTTAGTTATAAGCAAGAACAACAACCACAACCAGAGACTCATATACCAGTTACACTGAGCTGTACCTGGTCCAAAAATTTGAACTCCAACCTGTCCCTCACCAGCTCCCTTGGTATGCACATAAAATACAGCATTATCTTTGACTCGGACACCTCGTGGTTGAATACCTCTTCCTGTTGCATAAGCAGCTTTTGCATTGGATGCTGAAAACACACATTTAAATGATGAAGATAAACAGAAGACTGATCATGTTTGAATCATCAACATACAGAACTGGATATTATATATATATATATATATATATATATATATATATATATATATATATATATATATATATATATATATATATATATATATATATAAATGGTACTTATAAAAAACCTGCAGAGAGTTCCTTCCCTTCCCATTCATGCCCCGGTGGGTCTACGGCCTGTCCTATGTTGAAGAGGTGTCATGTATTTCTTAGTTTTAATGCTTTAATTATTGTCTCTTTTCTCGTATTGTCACCGCTCACTCGGGTGATTATTTCCATGTTGCTATGCTACTTGCCCAGTGGTTCGGGAGTGTGGAAACTGGGATGTTATTGTATTTCTATGTTACTTGTCAGTTGCTCCTTTTTTCCCGGGTGGGGGGTAGGGGGGGGGGGGCACCGACAAGGATTGTAGAATTACAATCATCCTACTTTCGATATTAACGAATAGTCATGCCTGTGACGCTTTTCCCTGCAGGATGCCTACGGTGCCTCAAAGAAACTCATGACAACAAAACCTCTCACAAACTTTACATGAGCAAACAATGAACAAAGATATCTCATAACACCCCCCACAACACAGGACAGAGCCACCGGCCGTGGCATGAATGGAAAGGGAAAAAACTCTTTTTGTGCTTTCAAGTTTGTTCTAAGTTCTATATGTATATATATTACAAAGCAAAACTAAATTTTAAAACTTATGATAAAATATTTCAAATGAAATAAAAACCCAGCAAACCAAATAACAAGTAGAAAAGTGTTAACTCTTGTATGGCATGCACGCTACTTGAGATTGCACATATTTTAAAGCATAATTGTCAAACATAAACAAATCAGGTAATTTTAATAAAACTTTCACCAGCTGTAAACTCAGACGAAAAGTTGTGGATGTTTCTCCACTTTTGGACTTCAGTCTTCTTCCAGAACATAAACTGTGCATGCACATCTGTGTTAAAGATGTGGCTCACTTGTAAGCAAAACTATTGATTCCTCATCACTCAGGCAGATGTGGCCTACTTGTAAGCAAAACTATTGATTCCTCATCACTCAGGCAGATGTGGCTTACTTGTAAGCAAAACTATTGATTCCTCATCACTCAGGCAGATGTGGCTTACTTGTAAGCAAAACTATTGATTCCTCATCACTCAGGCAGATGTGGCTTACTTGTAAGCAAAACTATTGATTCCACATCACTCAAGCAAATGTGGCTTACTTGTAAGCAAAACTATTGATTCCTCATCACTCAGGCAGATGTGGCCTACTTGTAAGCAAAACTATTGATTCCTCATCACTCAGGCAAATGTGGCTTACTTGTAAGCAAAACTATTGGTTCCTCATCACTCAGGCAAATGTGGCTTACTTGTAAGCAAAAGTATTGATTCCTCATCACTCAGGCAGATGTGGCTTACTTGTAAGCAAAACTACTGATTCCTCATCACTCAGGCAGATGTGGCCTACTTGTAAGCAAAACTATTGATTCCTCATCACTCAGGCAGATGTGCTTCGACTTGAGAGGAAAAATCCCAAATTTAGTTTCTTTTACAAAATGTTTGTAAGGGAAGCAGGGTGTCTTTTCAGATACTCCCCAGAGCTGGGAGAAAGTCCATGCACAGGTACCCTCTATTCATTTGAGGCTAACATTTACTAGGTCAATAGGTCAAACAGCAATAAGTAATGTGGTCAGTATTAAACCAGCCGCCTACATCCCAGAAGTAATCCTACTTCAGAGGGAGGTAAACCTACAAAGACCGAACTATACATAAAAATAAATCCTTAAATAAAAGTGTATCTAATATTGACTGTATTTAAAAAAAAAATTATGTTAACAGTTTTACATATTTTAACTCTGAAATACAATAAATATCTGTTGAGAGCTAATGAAGATATTTTATGTACTGTAATTGGCAATTATTCTCTGGCAGAAAGTTCTGGTTGTGTATCTAGTTCTGGACTTAGCCTTGTTCCATAACTTGAAACTTGCACATCCAGTTTTACAGATCTGGTGTACTTGCATGCAGACTGCTGGTTCCCCCACCACTCAAGCAGATGTGCTCTGATTTATGGAGGACTAATCCAGAATTATTCAACCTTTACAACATGCTTGACAGGGAGGCATTGGGTCTTCCCCACTCTGACCAAATGAGGCTGAGTGGTCTCGAGATGGTGTCCTTCTCAAGTGCTGGAGGTCTTGTGTACAAGCCCTAGTAAAGGGTGGAATTTTTTCTTGTGGACTTCTAGTAATTTTCCCTGTGCTCAGGGTAGTCAAATCGGACACCAGTGTGTATTCTTGCACACATAAAAATTCCCTTGGCAGTTAGAAATCAAAATGAGTAGCCTAACCGTGCTGCCCTGGCAAAATTTTGAATTAAAAATCTACCCAAAGTATTTCAGGATCCTCGCCGGTGCAACGGAATTCATGCAATGTGTTGAGATTCTTCAGACTCAGGCTTGAGTAAAAAGTAGAATGGAGCACTTATGGGTTACACCCGGGAGCCATTATGTTGATCCGTTAAATAAACAAACAAACATTAGACGAAAACAGAAAAAAAAAAAAAATAGTACAAATGGCAGCACTGGATGTATTTGACACAGAGAAGATTACTTTGTTAAATCAAGAAATGAGCCACTGTGAGAATGACAAAATGTTAGCCATACATTCCCCAATGCCAGGTGAATTTTCTAGTTAAAGCAGCCACACACATGCCCATTTACTTATCTTTTTTTCCTCATGCCTTTCTTACCTCCCCAGTGAAGCATAGGCCTTCAACCAATTCACCCTAAGTCGTTCTCTCCTTTGCCACTGCATGCAGTTTTCCGCATGTCCTCCACATCTGTTTAACTTCACTCTCTATTTCCTTTCCTTTAGTTAAAAGTTGAAGTTGAGAGAATAGGCTTCACAGCACCGGGTTTTATCCCCAACACTGAGCCCCTCTCCACAAAATGACTAATCACATATCAAAAGCATTGCACAAAGCACAAATCCTGTAGCTCTGGGGATTATCCCCATAGATCTCGGTAAAAACTGCACTCGTGAATTGAACGTCACAGCTATGAAATGAACCCATGATCTTCAGAACGCGAGCGCAAACTTCTTGACTACTTCTCATGGAGACCCTGTGTTGTCTAGCAATCAGTTACTGGTAACTTCATACCTGATAAGCTTTTCTTATCCCCTTGAGTCTGATCCATTTCTTGCATTAATCCATGTATCCCTGTTGTTAATGTTACCCTTACTCTGTCTTTTGTAGCTATTAGTTCAACTCTTTAAATTTCAAATGTATTAGTTTAAAGTCACAATTAGTTCAAAATAAAAAGTAACATAAAAATTTTCTGAAACTGAAAGAGTTAATAAAACATGCGGACTACACACACACAAACAAACACACACACACACGCACATACATACACAAACACAGAGATGAAACACACACAGACACACACACACAGTCACATAAATGCAAACACCCAGACCCACACAGAGACACATACATACATAGACAGACACACAAATACACACAGACAGACAGGCACACAAATGCTCACTGATACACACATAGCAACACATACAGAGACAGACAGATACACACACTCAACACGCATACACAGATAGACACACTGAACTGAGCAATGCAGCCGTGAATCGAATCCATGACCTTCAGAGCGCGAGGCAAATGGCTTTACCACTTTGCCATGGAGACCACCCGAGGTGTGATGGATGCTGTTGGAATCTGGTCAGTTATTTTAATATGCATCATGGTCTATGTTTCATTTACAGTCTGTAAGCCACGTCTCTGTTAAAATTACATACTCCTGTTCCATACATTGTGGCTAAAGTTTTCATAAGAAATCTTTTGTGAAACACCTTGGGGTTGGAAGAGTTGATCAATAAATTATTTAATCTCCATAGCTAGAGAAGATGGCGCTACACTGGGCAGACCCTGAGAAGAAACCAGGAGAGAATCACCAAACAGGCATTACAATGGGGAATAAAGGGATTAAGGAGGCGAGGAAGGAGTCACCATGATGTAGCGGCTAGACTTGTGTGCGGATCAGAAGGCTGTGGGTTCGCTCCCTGGCAGAGTCGGATTTTAATAAAAAATTACCTTGACTCCCAGGTTGACCCAGCCTTGAGTGGGTACCGGGTACAGTCCTGGGAAGTAAAGGTAGCCTGCGTTATGCTGACCACATCACCCATCTTGTGCTAATTGGTCTATAAAAATATAGATCTAGCCCTATATGCTCTATACACTTTAAGGCGTATTACTTTAAGTTATTTTTTTTTTAAGGAGGCCAGGATGTCTAAAAGAAACCCTAAGATGAACGTTGATAAGAGAGGCCAAAGCTGCTGGACTGGACTCCATCTATGATAATGAAGACTGCACAGGATACAATGGAATGGAGGAATAACCAGTGAGCCCTATGTGACATGTAATGGCACAACAGGATAATGATGCTGACAGATAGGGATCAAATTACCATCTCCCACCTTATGAACGTTTCTAGTAGTTGAACAAGCTTGTACATGAGGCAAGGGGTAAAACTGTACTGTTAAAAAACAGAAACACATAGTTCAAAAACAGAGACACATAGTTCAAAAACAGAGACACATAGTTCAAAAACAGAGACACATAGTTCAAAAACAGAAACACATAGTTCAAAAACAGAGACACATACTTTAAAAACAGAAACACATAATTCAAAAACAGAGACACATACTTTAAAAACAGAAACACATAGTAATATGATGGTGCTTTCATATTAAAATATTTAAAAAAATAATAATAATCTTATATGACAAAATAACGTTCCTTGCAGTAACTACGCGTTTACAATTTAAAAAAATTTTTTCAACAGTATATTGAAACATAAGAAAGCATGCCAAAAATACACCTGAACACTAGAGGTAAGTGTGGATTTGAACACATGTAGTTTAGCCAGACACATCATGCTCTACTTACTTCTAACTTCTGACAAGCAACAATGAAAATAAAAATAAAAAAATTACATATGATGCAAGGTTAAACTTTCTGTCAGCTCTGCTAAAATGTTAACTACTAAATCATTACTCCTGCTGAAAACAGTTACATGCTCTAACATACAATAAAAGCTTCTAGATAAAAACTACTATGCCTAATGACTAATTCTAATGTAAGAAAAACATAAATCGATTCAACCAAAATTAAAATGCTTCATTCAACAGGTGCCGTCTCCGCAGTAAAGGTTGGCTGAAATGGATCTCCAACACGCTCTTGTCTCTTGTCCTGGTTGTACACTCTTTCAGACTGCTGCCCGTCCATCTCTTGATGTTGCCCTCCCACTTGTATCATTGCCCACCTCTTGCTCTCTTGCCTTCAATCTTTCCCTCCAGTATAGTTTTTATAAGTGTATTATGTCTTTAAATGTGGCTAAAGTATTTCAATTGTCTCTCTGTTTTTAAAATTTTTTTCAGTAGTTCTCTTTTCATTTGTAGTTTTTTTTTCCAGAACCTCTGTATTGGACTGTTTTTTTGTTTCCGTGAAATATTACCTTTTCTTACACCTCCATTAAAATGTTTAATTCATTGTGATTACCTATGGGCAGGGCTTTAATGTCTAGTGCTATGCAGTAGTTACTAAAATTTCTAGGGACCCTTTTTCAGTGCTTCTGTAATAAACACTATTTTTGTAAACACTTTCTGGTGAGTATAAACCATTTTTTCTAGGAAAAAGAAAAGGCCCACTTAAATGTATGAATATTTGTCTTGAGGTTGTCAGTATGGTTACATTACACACTATTACTCTTTCTCTAATTCTTAGTACAGTCGAGTCCGCGTAAGTCGAACTTGGATAAGTCGGATTTCGGTTAAGTCGACATGACCAGCTTAGTCCCGGCAATTTTCTCTGTTGTGTGTCTTCTTCTTCTTCTTCACTTCCTCTTTTACAGCTGTGGGTGTCGAGGGAGATATAAGGTTCTGTCTCTAGCTCTTCTGGCCGCCTCGACCATAGGCACATCGTGCTGTTGTAGAGTTTCTCTGATGTTATCCTTCCATCTTGTTCTTGGTCTACCTCTATGTCCTTCTTCTCTTTCCATGTATGCTTTGTATGGTATGGTGTCACAAGGCATTCTCTCTAAGTGGGCAAACCATTTCACCTGCTGTCTTCGTATGCAATTTATAATTGGTTCTGTGCTGACTTTTTCTCTAATGATCTCATTCCTGATCTTATCTCTTATGGTCACTCCTACAGCCCTTCTCAGACATCTCATCTCCATGGTTAATAATTCTCTATTGTGTGTGCTGTCTGGATAAGTAGAAATCCTGATAAGTGGAAGCCTTTTATAAGGTCCTTGAGACTTCTACTTATCCAGACTCGACTGTATACAAAAATTTGTTCTTGTTGGGACCAATGTTTTTAAAAAGGATTTCCACACTTGTTTCAATCTTAAACCTCTGTTGGTAATTGGAATTATAAGAGGCATAGAGAATAACTTAATCTAAGGAAATAAATGCATAGGTTTTCCTTTCTCTTCCTACAAAAAGTGAAGCTGTGTTGAATTACTTACTTGAGGCGACATTGACACCATAAGGGCTCCCGGGAATCTGGACCCCATTGAAGACAATGTTGACTGAGTGAAGACCAGGCACCAGTGCAGTGTACTCGACACGGTAGGTCCCCTCCTTGCCTAAGATTGGGTTGATTGTATGTTTCACTGTGTCCCTTTGTCCATTTGGATCCAGAATAACAACATCAACAGTGCCTCTGCCAGCCTCTGAAACCAGAATAATAACATCAACAGTGCATCTGCCAGCTTCTAAAACCAGAATAACAACATCAACAGTGCCTCTGCCAGCCTCTGAAACCAGAATAATAACATCAACAGTGCATCTGCCAGCTTCTAAAACCAGAATAACAACATCAACAGTGCATCTGTCAGCCTCTGAAACCAGAATAACAACATTAACAGTGCTTCTTCCAGCCTCTAAAACCAGAATAAAAACATCAACAGTGGCTCTGTCAGCCTTTGATGAAAGTTTGATAATATGAAATATGAAAATACAAGCTACATAATTACAAGTAAAGTTATCCAGTACTGATGTAAAATGTACAATTGGTTCTAAACCTCTACACCATTGCTAACAACCACGACCAGACTGCAAGAACAGCATGTTGAAAATGGTGTAGCCAGACAAGAGAACTATGAAGGAAGCCAAAGAAGAATAAGAAACCATTTAAACAAACATTAGTCTCCCCATAGAAAGTAGGTCATGTTCCATTTATAGTTTTTTTGGACTGGTCTTACCAAGCTGGTTTTACGGGTGTCCTGCTCTGTTGTTTGCTATCTGTGTTGTCTTGCATTTAAGTGTTTATTCTGAGAAAATGAATGCCTGTGACATAGGTTTCATCACTCTCTAAAGGGGTTGTGTGTTAGACCCAGTTTGTCAATGTTTTTGGAGTGTTGAAGGCGCTGGAATGCTGCAATATAGAAGACACGATATCAACAGCATTGGGGAACACCTATCACCTTGTGTGAAGGTCGGATGTCTCAAGGTCGACCAATCAGAAGTGAGCTGACCTGAAGGTTGCCCAATCAGAAGTGAGGTAGTGTGTAGCAGTGTTTGAATGGGGGGACTACCTTTACTTTTACCAAGAAACCCATATAAAACTGGTGTTGTAAGCCGCTACACGCTGCAGGACTTACTAAGAAGGGGATCAGAGCACTTATGGACTAGGTGGTTCAATGTGCAATGAGGATAATCTGTCAACTAACTAACTAACACCAGCTATTCAACTGGAAGCCTGTGGGCAGAATCTTCCCAGCGGAGGTCTAACAGGTGGTCCATGTATCACTGACAGTTGTATTGTATTAATGATCTTTCTTTGCCGAGGCTTGGGGTTCTGTGCTAATCCTCAAGTTTGTGCCCCCAAGTAAACCCAGCTGAATAGCCCATCTCGACACACTGACATTAGAGATGGCTGGCTGGTTGATTCAGAATTCTGTTGGAGCGAAATGATAAAAAGAAATAAAGATAATTAAAAACATACGCTGTGTATAGACTTCAAAGTAGGTCTTTTTGCCAACAATCACTCCAGTTTTCTCCAGACCAGGTCCTGCAGCTGTGACCTTTGCAGGGTCACCAGCCGCACCTTCAACCTTGACACTAAATGGAGACTTGGGAATTTCTTTTCCAGCAAACTTGATGATCACCTTGAAAAAACACACACACAAAAGAACAGATTATTCTAAGATCTGTGTGGTCACTGCAGGTTGTAGGTAAAGAAAACAAAGGAAAAACATTATGCAAAATAGACTGAAATTATTATGATATTTAAATATATGAGGTTATGTCATGAAAAGGAAAACATCAGTTCCTGGTCTAATTACATCTTCTCTTAGCTGACAGCAAAACTGAACAACTATATCAGGGAAGGCTAACCAGAGCAGCAAAAGATGCAAATATCACAGCCACGCTGTAAGTAGGCACAAGGCAGAAGAAGAAGAAGAAGAAGAAAAAGAAGAAGAAGAAGAAGAAGGAGGAGGAGGAAGAGGAGAAGAAGAAAAAGAAGAAGCAGCAGCAGCAGTAGCAGCAGCAGAAGCAGCAGCAGCAGCAGAAGAAGAAGAAGAAGAAGAAGAAGAAGAAGAAGTAGAAGAAAAAGAAGAAGAAGATGCAGAAGCAGCAACAGCAGTAGCAGTAGCAGCAGCAGAAGCAGCAGCAAAACAAAAAGCAGAAGAAGAAGAAGAAGAAGAAGAAGAAGAAGAAGAAGAAGAAGAAGAAGAAGAAGAAGAAGAAGAAGAAGAAGAAGAAGAAGAAGAAGAAGAAGAAAAAGAAGAAGAAGAAGAAGAAGAAGAAGAAGAAGAAGAAGAAGAAGAAGAAGAAGAAGAAGAAGAAGAAGAAGAAGAAGAAGCAGCAGCAGCAGTAGTAGCAGCAATAGAAGCAGCAGCAGTAGCAGTAAAAGAAGAAGAAGAAGAAGAAGAAGAAGAAGAAGAAGAAGAAGAAGAAGAAGAAGAAGAAGAAGAAGAAGAAGAAGAAGAAGAAGAAGAAGAAGAAGAAGAAGAAGAAGAAGAAGAAGAAGAAGAAGAAGAAGAAGAAGAAGAAGAAGAAGAAGAAGAAGAAGCATTAGCAACAGAAGAAGAACAAGAACAAGAACAAGAAGAACTACAACAACAACATGAACAACAACAACAGCAACAATAAATATTTTATGACTAAATGGTTCATCTTCTCTAAGGAAAAAATCCCTAAGACAATTTCAGATTTCACATAAAAGTCGACATACCCTGTAGCTTCCTTCAATATTTGGGACGTAGACACAAGAGTAGGTAGCATTTGGGTCATTGTTGAAAACCACCTCACACTGAAAAAAAAAAATATGTAAAAACTGTTATAGTAATTATTTTGTTTAAATGTGCATTTTATAATATATACGTCTTTAGATGGATACTCAGCCAGGTGGTGACAAGAGTTGTAAATGGATTCGCAAATTTATAACAAATAGTAAGCAAAGTGAAGGACACCTTTCTAATTCAAGCTGTCCTAATATGGGATGCAATTTTTCGTTATATTAAAGTCGCATTATGGCTGTTGTTGAGGATTTAATTTAACCCATGGTTGAATGGGGTTTCTAGGACTTGCACCTGGGTAATTCTCATTGTGTCACCAATTGTTTATTGCTTATTGTGTGATCCTGGTAGGGTTGAACATCATTCCTTCAGAACCCTTTTCTCCACCTTTAGTTGTATTGGGCATATAGTTCTCTAGCTGTATTGGGCATATAGTTCTCTAGCTGTATTGATCCTGCTGTATTGGGCATATAGAACATATAGTTCTCTAGCATTGGGCATATAGTTCTCTAGCTGTATTGGGCATATAGTTCTCTAGCTGTATTGGGCATATAGTTCTCTAGCTGTATTGGGCATATAGTTCTCTAGCTGTATTGGGCATATAGTTCTCTAAGCTGTATTGGGCATATAGTTCTCTAGCTGTATTGGGCATATAGTTCTAGACCTATATTTTGTAGAACAATTGGCACTTGGTGGACGATGTGGTTAACATAATGCCGGCTGGCTTTATTTCCAGGACTTAACCTTGTACTTATTTACAGTGTCATCAACCTGGAAGTCAAGATCAGTTTTTTTTCCCCTAAAACCCAGCTCCATTAGGACCTGAAACCATGAGTAATAAACAGTAAACAGATAGTTAGTTAATTAATTGACAGATTACCCTCATTGCATTTTGAACAAGTCTATATGCATTCGGATCCCATCTTTAGTATATCAAACACGGTGTGGTGACTGATAACACTAGTTCTGTGTTGGTTTACTATTCTTCTTTGGCTTCCTGAATAGTGTTCATGTTTGGAGCTTCCTCTTTGATCTGAAGTTCTTGCAGTCTTTTGAGTGTTGCCGACTTAACGTCATCTCCTGAATCATCTTCTCGTCCTGCCCTCCTAAACAGCATTGAGAATCTCGGCCCAGTCCATTGCTTTTCCTGTACCCACAGTAGCTCTGCCAGCAAGCCAATCTGCTCGTTTATTCCCTCTTACCCTAAAGTGTCTTGGCACAAAAATGAAACTAATTCCTTTCAGACGAGATTTCCTTAGCGACTCCAACCATTTTCTTCGAATCTCTATCTTCTTCAGCATGCCCATAGAATCACCTAGAAAGCACGCATGGGAAAACTGCGGTGTCTCTAGCCACATCATTGCTTTTCTTACCTCCATCACCTCTATAGTCAGACTACTTGTAAATAGTAACAATAACAATAGTAATTCAATGTATTTTTGTCATGCAATGGAAAGTGTAAGCAGCGATTACAGCCATTACACGCAAGCCTCACCGATGATTCAGCCTCACAATAAATCATTTAAAATATTATTGTGGATTCATCATCATCATCATCATCATCTTCTGTGCCCTTGTAGGTCACATAGCGTTTTCCAGTTTATTGTTCTGCTTCTTTCCCTGTGCAGCTGTTTCAGTCACATTTAATTTTCAGGTTTCTTTTGTGCATTCTGGTCTCTTCAGTCCATTTGCTTCCCATTTTAGTGCCTGTTTGGCAATTCTCTGTTTGTTTCTCCTTAGAATTTGCTCAGTATAGTGCCATCTTCTTTGATGCCATCAGCGGTTGTCCAGACATTTCTCTTATTTGTTGCCTTTCTAGACAGCTTCTCATATAATATTCATCAATTTTCTTAAGCATTTGAACAGGGATTTCTTTGCTTTCTTCTAATTTTTCTTCTTATAATGATTACTTCTTGATATCTAAGCCCAGCCTGACACTGAAACATATATACAATTGTTAAACTGGCTGTTCTGTTCTAACAAGTATGTTATAATGAACACCCCTCCAGATCTGTACTTAACACTGAAACTCCCAATGTGGGCCACCTTGGAGAACAAAAAACGGACCCACTACCACCCCTTCCCTAAAAAGCATATCGTAGGAGCTAACTAATTTCCTTCAAAGTCGGAGTGCATCTTTCGGAGAGGAAAGAGCCAACAGTCTGCACACAGATAAGCCAGATCTGTAAAATGGCTGTATACTCAATACTCAAGTTCTGGAACAGGTGCGGGGGTGGATTAACAACCAAAACTTGTTTGCTGGAGTTTATAACTGGTGAAAGCTAAAAATAAGAAGAAGAACACTTAAACATGTACAAAATATTTACATGGATTGCTTTGTTCTAATGATATCATGAAGATTTTTAATAAATGAAAAATTAGACCAGCGAGCTTCACAATTCAACAAAACACAAACGGAAAGTTTTAAATTTTTTTAAATGTTAATTAATACAGCAGTATAGACGAAAGTAACTGGCTCACATGCACAGTAGCATTTCCTGGGAGGGCCCTACATGTTTTCTTTTAATGAGGATCTTCTCTACTTCTTCAGATTTGTGCTCAACCTCACTTGCAAAGCTTAATGTCTTTTTCATCATCATTACTGTCCTGTTGTGCCAATATATGTCACATAGGGCTTACAGATCTATACCTCCATTCTAGTCTGTGCAATTCCTTGGATATTCCTGATGTAATCCGATACAACATAAACGTGTTCAGTCTCTATTGTTGAATGTTGAATTAAGAATCAACATCATAGCACTCGGAACACTCCCATAAGTGCTCCCTCCCTATCTTCAGCAGCAAGAGTTCCAATTCTGATGGTACCGGTAACTGATTGTTCATCCATCTCGCCTTTCCCTTGAGTACTGAATGTTGGCCAGATTCCCTGGTAACTCCCAGCAGCGCCATTCTCCTTAAATGTAATGATTTATTTCTGCCTCTGCACTGTTCACTTGCTCTCAAAGAGCCCTCACAAAATCTAGCTTGTCATACATCAATTCCTCACCAAGTGGTGCAGAACCAGTCAGTCTACTGCCTGCTCATTTCCCAAAACACCAGCATCACCTGGAGAAAATATCCAAAGGATGCTAACTGCCTGGGACCTCTGAAGTGATGCTTGCCACTGTGCACAGAGCATGCCTGTCTCCACATTTCTCTGTAAGTCAGTTACAATTATGACATGTGTCTACAGCTGATTCTCAAACTAGAGGAAGGCAGCTTCAGTCTCTATGAATTACCTCAATATGTTCAGTTTTTTTTCTGCTGGTTCTAAACTCCTTCTAGCCCAAGAAACACACCATGTATGCTCATCTACTCTCAATGTGTTTCAAACAAGACAAAGAGGGGGGGGTGGGCTGCGTGGTCTCAAGGCATGGTGTCCGCCTCGAGTGCTGGAGGTTCCGGGTTAAATCACCGGTAAAGGCTGTGATTTTTTAAAGTGGACTTGGAATTCTAGTAACTTTCCCTGATCTCTGGGTAGTGAGATCGGACACTTGCGTGCATTGTTTTTACGTGCTGGCAGTTGGAAATAGCAAAAGACTAGCCTAGCGGCATTGCCCGAGCAAAATTTCGAATAAAAAATCTACCCGAAGTATTTCAGGATCCTCGCTGGTGCTACAGAGCCTGTGCACTGTGCTGAGCTTCTTCGGACTCAGACTTGAGTTAGAAGAAGAACGGAGCACTTATGGGTTACTACCCATATGCCGTAATGTTGATCCGTTGTTCAAACCTCAAACCTCAAACAAGACACGGTGTGTAATTATATCTTTTATGTGTAGTTTGAGCCTAATAAAGATATCTAAAGGGCCAGACTTTTTTTTTCTTTCGAAATGACCTTGGCTGCCAGGTCGACCAAGCATTGAGTGGGTACTAGGTACAGTCCTGGGAAGTAGAGGTGGTTATCAGGATGCTGACAACATCACCCACCAAGTGCTGTCTAGCCCTATATACCCAACATTACTAAAGACATGGAAAAGGTTTGCTTTACTTTTTTTCTTGCAACTTTTTAAAGATTTCTGGCCAGATATTTTAAATGTAGTGCACCATATGCTGGATGTTCAAACGAAACAGCGTAATTTTTCCCCTATTACAGTTACTGTCTCTTTTGAACCTCTTTTTGTGAAGATTTCCTGTCACTGACTGAGTAAATGTTCAATCATTCTGCTGTCCTTCAATGTAAAGAGATGCACAAATATTTAATACAAACTAATGCAAAAAAATAATACTGAGAACATACCGCACAGCGGAAATGATACTTACCGGCAAAGTTTTTCCTTTGGGGTTAAGGACAAGCACATCAAGCTTGCCAGTTCCAGCTCCAACAGTCTCCACAGTAAACCTAGCCGGTTTATCCACCTGATTGCCCGTAGGTTCAATTCCTGGACCATAAGCTCTGCATCGACCAACATTGACTTCTGGTGCAGCAGGAGCAGGGGCCGCCTGGTGAGGGGGAGCTGCAGTTTGTTGAATGGGAGCTCCAGGTCCTCGTTTGGATTTAGGGAACTGGGACAGGTAGGTCATCATGCTGAGGTCATCCACTTTTGGGTTAGTCATCTCTTCAGGTCTGATGAGCTGTTGATGATATTCAGGCCGGTTACTCCAAGACATAGAATCAGATGGTAACAGTAAGCTTTACTGTGACATTAAGTAATTTTGTTAGTTGCAGTACAACAATCTACAGAAGAAGATTTTGCAATGCAATTCTACAGAAAAAAATGTTGCAGTTCAACAATCTATAGAAGTAAATTTTGCAATACAGTATTATAGAATAATATTTTGAATTACAACACCCTACAGAAGAATATTTTGCGATACAGCTCGTCTTCTTCTTCAGCATTCCGAGCCCTTGAGGTTCATTGCTGCAAATATCACCTGCCTCCATGCATTTATCTGGTTATCCTTCTCTTTCCAGTTGGTGACACCAAGTGTTTGCAGGTTTGTCCGGATATTATCTCTCCATCATCTTCTTGGTCTGCCTTGTGGTCTACGACCATGCATCTCCCTTGTGTATACAGTTTTCAACTTCTCTGTCATCTGACATTCTTTCAATACGCCCCAACCATTTCAGTCTATTAGCTCTCATGATGTCAGTTAGCTTCAGCTATGTAGCCAGGTAGCTTCAGTCTCTCTGAATTACCTTAATTACAGAAAAAAATGTTGCAATACAACACTTAAAAAAAAAAGAAAATTTTGCAATACAACATTCTACAGAAGAATATTCTGCAATACAACACTTTAAAAGAATATTTTGCAATACAACTGCAATACAACATTCTACAGAAGAATATTTTTCAATACATCATTATAGAAGAAAATTATCATGCAGCTACAGCTCTACAGCATAACATTTTGCAATACAACACTTTAAAAAAGAATATTTTGCAACACAACACCCTACAGAAGAATATTCTGCAATACAACTCTATAAAAGAGTATTCTGCAATACAACTCTATAAAAGAGTATTCTGCAATACAACTCTATAAAAGAGTATTCTGCAATACAACTCTATAGAAGAGTATTCTGCAATACAACTCTATAAAAGAGTATTCTGCAATACAACTCTATAAAAGAGTATTTTGCAATACAACTACAATACAACACTCTATAGAAGAATATTTTTCAATACATCACTGTAGAAGAAAATTTTCAATAGCATTATCATCATGATAGCTGTTCTACGAAGGGAAAAACTCCTAACTGTACCTATCAGTGGCAGAAAAATGATAATTCAATTCCGAGAACTGAACATGCAACAGATAACAACAAATAGTGATCACTGCATGGATACAGAGATAGGAAATTAACTATCTAGGTAGCCAGAAATGTGTGGCAATAACCAACTTGTTTTGATGTGGAAGGTAGGAGGCAGCCACCACAGTAGTATCGTTGGCATATATCCCTGCTTTTCCGCAAATAGTTTTATATTGTATTGTAGAGAATCATGGGAAGTACAGCCATTTAAGGCCTGGGATGAGAGGTTCGTCCACTTCAAGGCACAAAGTCGTGCAGTATTATTGAAACCATGTGTTGGTCATGCATCATGGTCCCTTTATATGAAGTATGGTCTCTTTATATGCAACATGGTCTCTTTAAATGCAGTATGGTCCCTTTATGTGCACTATGGTCCCTTTATATGCAGTATGAAACCAGCACAGTATCTTCCCAAATGTTACGTGTGTCACATGTCTAGAATGAGTTCTCCTTCTTCTCCTCCTTCTCATCCTCTTCATTATTCTACTTTCTTTCTTTCTTCTTGTTTCTTCTTGTTCTTCTTCCTCTCCTTCTTATCCTCCTCCTACTTCTTCTTCTTCTTCTTCTTCTCTTCTTCTCCTTCTCCTTCTTCTCTTCTTCTTCTTCTTCTTCTTCTTCTTTCATTTTCTTCTTTTTTTTTCTTCTTCTTCTTGTGCTTGTTCAACTGGCTTTATTAGAAAAGCATGAAATTTACAACAGGTTTAGCAGAACAAAACAAAACATCCTATTGTGGTTGCTCACTGAACCAAGTTTTCACCGTGTTCATTACGTTTGCATCTGTGTGAAATTGTTGCCCCTTGGGAACTTTTTAGAGGTTTGAACAACAACAACAACAACACAACAACAAATCATATAGTGGCAAATCAGGACTATAGGCTGGAAACTTCTTAAAGTCCATGTTCGTTCACACTAATGCTTCCTGCACAATCTGATTACGTACATTTAAATTAAGTTCCTCATTGTATTGTTGGCACCATTGAGTCTTTTCAGTCGACAGTGTTTTACTGTGGTGTATGGAGGAATGACAGTCTTAGCCAAGGATGGGACCAATTAAGACCAAAAGATGAACTTCCTTCTCTCCATCGCACAAAGTCTGGACAGTGTAGTAGAGATCATATGTTGTTCATGCTTCACGATCTCTGCCTCAGTCTGTTTTGTTTACTCAAAATGGAAAGGTAGTATACTAATTTGTTTGGAACAAAACATGCTGCAGAAGCTACCAGATCACAAGAGCAGAGCTTCTCTATCAATCAGCTGTCAACAGATACCAACGGCTTGGTCTGTCCTGTCATAACAAAAAAAAGAATCTACTCTTTTTGTCTTTTACACCCCTCCCCTCCCCTCCCCCCCCCCCCCCACAAATCTTTAGAGGAACAACAGTTAGATTTCAACATAAACATATACAATATTATGGCGGATGTTTAAAATCTCTAAGTATCTCCCCCCCCCCCCCCCCCCAAAAAAAAAAAAAAAAAAGAACACACACACACTCACACAACATAGCGAATGCACCTAGCAGAACAGACTTAAAAGGGGGGGGGGGAGCGATACAAAGCGTGTACTACTCATTTCGAATCTTCGTTTACCGGCTGCACGTTTCCGTATAGCCCGTGAGCGCACACGCATACACACAATAAAGGATCTGGTTTGCAGTTCTGCAAATTCCTTCTCCCACACACACACACACCGGCTCAGGTAAAAAGAACACAGGTACGAGAATCTGGTTTACGTGTTATAGTTACAGGTAAATCACAGACCCGCATAGAAATGTGCCTTGAACTAGGTTGGCTCTGGGGTTAGAAACCACCCTTGAGACACGCGAGCTTAAGTGGTAGACAGGGAGTTTGCTTCTTTCTATTCCGGGCTGTTGCCAGATGAAAGTTGCGCTGAGTTGAGTTGATCCAAGAACCAACAAAACATCATTTGGGGCATTCCTAAAAGCGCGGCGTCTCCATCTTCGGCAGCCAGCGCAGAGTTCCAGTACCAATGATGCCAACAGCACTCTGATTTAACGCTTGTCTTGCCTTTTTCTCCAAGCGTTGAGTATCGACTAGATCCTCTCGTCACTCCCCGCTGCATCACTCTCACCAGACTGTGATGACCCATTTGTTCTTCCTAACTGCACACGTTACACAGATGAAAGTATGAGAAGCCATGCCCAGAAGCGTAAAATGGCTGGCGAGTGGTAGTTCACAAAACAACCACTAGAAATGTCCGGTTCTTCTTGCAGTCGATTAGAAGTAGTAGTAGTTGTAGATTTTTACCCCACCAGGATATCACACGAGTGATAAACACCCCATGACACAAATTGCCACCTTGTGGATGCGGATCACCGCGGAGAGGTCCTAGAAACCGCGTTCAGCCATTAGACCATATTTATAGTCGGGCTATATTGCGGCCCCTGGCAAGAGCCAGAGTAGGGCTTCAAATAACGAAAAACTGCATCCCACAGAGGGATGCCAAGATGATAATAAGTGCACCTGCGGTCGATATGGAGGATAGTCAGGTTTACTGTTTTTAGTAGTGACAAATAGTTGGTCGTTGCATTTTTCTCCATTTGTAAACTAAAAGGATATCGTTTTGTCGCTCAGCTACTGAGTTAAGTGCGTTACGCGGCATTGTGAGCTGTGAATTTGTTTTGGAATGCTTGTCGGTTGTGCCAAACGTGGTTTGTGTTGTAAACTGTAGGTTCAGAAAATGGCGAGTGTCCTGTTGCCACAGAACAGATGGCGCCTTTTGCGTTTAATCGCGTGTGCAAGCACTGATCTGTTGCAACTGTAGCTTTCATAGATGATGTATTGTATTTCTAATGTCAAGACTGTTTGTGTTGGTACCTCTGACGGCTGTCTTGTGCATTTAATGCATGTGTACGCAATTGTATTTGCTGAGACTGCCAGACTATTTCAAATGTTACACAAGGGTTTTCATTGACACAGGAACAGAACAAATCTCGGATGACATGTTTGCTATAAACTTAGAATTTGATTACTTAATTACATAAGTGTTCAGTCATTCACCGCAAAATCGAAGTATGAGGATGTCGACGGTCCGTTTTGTGGGCTTGTTGACTAAACATTGTAAGCGTCCTCGCGTGTGAACTTTGAAGCCAGACCTCTGTCGATTCGCCACCTAACTAACAGGCGTACGTTAAAGACATCAATCCAGAAATGTTGCACCGCGAAACGAATGTTGAATGTTGAATGTTGAATTAAGAATCGACATAACAGCACTCGAGACACCCTCAAAAGCGCTCTGTCCCCATCTTCAGCAGCAAGCGAAGAGTTAAAATTCCGATAGTACCAGTAACTGTCTGATTGTATTTCCGTCTCGCCTTTTCCCTGAATGTCTAGCGTCGGGTATATTCCCTTGTAACACATCGCAGTGCCATTCTCCTCAGACCGTAATGATCTATCTGTGCCTCGGCCCTGTTCACTCGCTCCCAAAGGGCCCTCACACCATCCATCTTGTCATACATCAGTCCACCACCAAGTGGTGCAGAACCAGCCAGTCTATGTGCCTGCTCATTTCCCATCACACCGGCGTGACCTGGAGAAAATATCCAAAGGACGCTAACTACCCGGAACCTCTGAAGTGATGCTTGCTACTATTCACGGAGCATGCCTGTCTCCACCTTTCTCAACATGCTCTGTGAGTCAGTTACAATGTCGACATGTGTGTACAGCTGATTCTCAAGCCAGTGGAAGGCAGCAGTGACTGCCTCCACCTCCATTCTCAAACTAGACGTTGTGATATCACATGCCAGCCTTTGTTGCACCAAGCGACGTCCATTTGCCTTCACTATGAACCCCCACGCACTTCG